TCTTTTCTAATCGGAGATACAAGTATTATGTTTTTTTCGTTAACTTTTTGTTATTAGTTATTGATATAACACTTCTAAAAAGTAGTTATATTTGATATAAATTTACATTTATGTGGTAATATAACTATAAATTAATACCAAATCGCCGCCTTACATCACGCCTTGAAAAACGCCATGGCTCGTAAAGCTTGAGGCTTTGCCTTGCCGCCACGCCATGCCTAACGCCATTTAGAACCTTGATACATAATATCTCGTAGAGTGTCCAACTCATATGGTCGTGCTGCATGTTGAACTATGTGCCATTTTATTTTCAGAACTCCGAAAGCACGTTCTACGTCCTTACGTGCTCATTCTTGTCTTCTTTTGAAACATTTGTCTCTTGGTTCCATCGGGCGAAAGGCCTTCAGAAACGTGGAATATGGTGGATATATTCCATCCATGAGGTAATACCCGAACATATACTCATGACCATTCACTGTGAAAGGAGCATCCAATGCCTTTCCTGTCAGAAGGTCTTGAAATATTGGTGACTGATCAAGAACGTTTACATCGTTGTTAGAACTCGCGACTCCAAAAAAAGCATGCCAAATCCATAAGTCTTGTGAAACAACAACCTCTAATACCAACGAAGGCTATCCAAGATGACCACTTGTGTATTGACCTTTCCACGCAACAGGACAATTTCTCCATATCCACTTTGTGCAATCAATGCTTCCAAGCATACCTAGAAAACCATATCATTCTTCATGTGCCGCATATAGTTGTTGCATGTCATTCAATGAAGGTCTGCGCAAGTATTTGCACTGAAGGTTTCGATAACACCTCTCGCCAATCTATACAAACTTTCTCGTGCAGTTCGCTCCGACATTCACATATAGTCATCAATGGAATCGGGTGACTCCCCCATAGCTATAAGCTCGATTGCAGCAACACATTTTTGCAACGCTGTAAAACCTCGTTTACCTCTCGCATCATACCTCATTTGGAAAAATTCATACCTAAACATATATTTAATTTGTAAAAAATGTGTTATTATGTTATGTAAAAAACAATTATCTAAAAAGTATATTTATGTTATCTAAAAAACAGTTATCTAAAAAGTGTATTTTCGATACTTGCTTTCCAATGCATTGGCTATCCGTTGAAACATATTTTTTCGCAAACGAAACCTTATTTTAAAATCGCTAGGTTGGTAGACACAATTATCCGCAAAATAATCATGTACTAGACGTCTATGCCCTTCTTCACGATCTCTGTTTGACGCCACATGCCTTGTTAGTAGTGGAGCTGGCTCTGGCGGTAGCATGTTCGTAGAATATCGATACATCATACTCACGAATATATCATCGTCGTCGTTATCATCGTTGTATGGACGGAACAGATCAAAATAATCCATTTTTTTGTAACTAGAAAAATATAAAAGATAATGAACTTGATAGAAATGTGTATTTGAGAGAATTTGATGAATTTTGTATGTAAATATTTGAAGTTAAAATGTGTATATATATAGGAATTAAAATGATTTTTTTTAAGTTGTGACCGTTCCACAACGGTCGAAAAAATTGACCGTCTGCGCGTTTCGTCCCGTTGCCACCCAAACGTCGAATAACGTAACGCCACTTAACGCCGGCCGGGGGCGGTGTAGCCGGCGTTATAACGCCCTTTTTTGTGCCATGTCGGATTAACGCGATACCCGTTGTCCGCTCCCAAATTTGTTCCTCTGTGATCTTATTAACGATTTCCTCCATTAGCGCTTTGTTGTTGGTGTGAGTTTTCTTTCTCGCTTCTGGTCAAGTTTATTAGTTTTTGCAGATTTTGTATCCACTTTTATGTTTCACATCCAGTTTTAGTCCCTCTGTAATCTTATCGGCGTGCATATACATAAGTTCCCTTTGTGGCTATGTACCCATCAGACCTCTTTAATACAATCAAATCCATTAAAATGGCATGGGCAGGAGATGCAGATGCAGAAGCAGTTGTGTTGGGTGTTGCTGCTATGTTTGTCTACATGTAGAGGAATTGCAGACACCTCTTCTTACTGCAATGTTTGTCTACACCCATTTGTATGTTACTTCAAAATCTTGCTGGGGTATGGTATTCTATATCACAATACTTTTTGTAAGCTTCCAGACAACAATTTTCTGCCAATGAGAATGGTTTTAAGTTTTAAGTTTTAACTCCTTGTAAGCATATTTGGCCAACGCCTGAACTAGCTAGCTTGAGAATCTTTGTCTTGGCAAAATATTCAATTGGTTGAGCTGCTTACATTGCAAAGTTGCAAAGAAAAAATGGGGGCATAAAATATTTATGTTTATAAATTAATAAATGAGCGTATCATTGTCCTACGTGTTTTGGAAACGTTTGGAGTTTCCAGATCTAGATCTCTCTCTCTCTCTCTCTCTCTCAATGTACTACTCCCTACGTCCCAAAATTATTGTCCAACTTACTATTTTAGTTTGTCCCAAAATTATTGTCCACTACCAAAAGTAGATATACACTTTTACCATATTATCCCTAACATTTAATAAAGTAAACTTGAATAATTATAAACGCACATTTCTCATTGGTTTTAGAAAAGGACAAGAGGGTCATTTTACTCAAAAAGACAAAACTAATGATTGCTTTTCTTAATCTATGTTTTTTTTGTTTGTGGACAATAATTTTGGGACGGAGGCAGTATTTTTTTTCCTGTAAATGGATAACAAAGCTAAGTGAAAAAATCAGCCCCTATATATTAATCCACCAGAAATATTAGATTTTTCTTGAAAAATAAACAAATAATAAGAACTAAGGCTATCTTCAATGGATTAAACTCATTCAGAGTTGTATGAAATACCAAGTAGGAGAGAGAATGTATACATTCACTTCAACTCTTTAAAAAATTCATAAAAAATTTCATTACAATTCTATTAGAACTTTCATACAATTTATTCTATTAAACTCCACATTTTCTCTCCTCTATATTATATTCATATATATTCTATTAAACTTTCATACAATTCTCATTCCGGATGACCTAAGAACTAACGATGTTAATGAATAATAAAGCTAAGTGAAAAAATGAGCTCTCATATGTTAATCAAACAGAAATATTAGATTTTTCTTGAAAAAATAAATAAATAATAAGAACTAAGAACTAACGATACGATCCTAGAGTTTTTGAAAAAAAGGATATTTTTGAAAAAAATATTTACGTGATGATATGGTTTTAAAACTATGAGAAACTACAATAAAGTTCTTACATATTGATCTCATAATCGATTTAGTCTCTTTGTATTTTTTTTATTCAATTAAGTCTCAAATACCGGTAATCGTATTCAATTTAACCATTTGACACAGTCAACAGGTCATCCAACTTTCAAAAATTACATTTTTGGCCCAGATTTCAAAATTTATTACAAATTTTGTCCAAAATTTACACTTTTGGCCCAGATTTTTAATTTTGTTACAAATTTGGTCCAAACTTTACCCTTTTTGCCCAAATTTTAGAATTTTATTATGAATTCATCCTAACTTTAGTTTTATTTACAACGTTTCTCTCAAAGAATTGTGTCTAATATGTTTTTTCTTTATAAAATCATATTTATACAAAAAAAAACGTATTTTCACTTAAAAATCTTATATTTTCTATATAAAAACTTTTTTGTATATGAAATATCTAGTTATAAAAATAAATATTTATTAAGTGTATAAATATATACAAATCGGTTTTTATAAAAAATGTATACAAAAACGTATTTTACAAAAAAATATGTATACAAACACCTATTTTATCTATATTTTATTTATAAAATCGTTTTTGTTTATATTTTTTTTTTTATAAAAACATGTTTGAATAATTTTTTATATAATACGTGTTTGTATACATTTTATAAAATGTATACAAACACGATTTTATAAAATATATACAAACACGTATTATTTAAAAAATTATTCAAACACGTTTTTATAAGATGTATACAAACACGATTTTATAAAATGTATACAAACACGTATTATATAAAAAATTATTCAAACACGTTTTTATAAAAAAATATAAACAAACACGATTTTATAAAAAAAATATAGATACACACCTATTTGTGTGCATATATATATATATATATATATATATATATATATATATATATATATATATAAAGGTGATAGGCGTTTGTATCCATTTTTTATGTAAAATACGTTTTTGTACACATTTTTTTTATAAAAACGGATTTGTATATATTTATATACTTAATAAATATATATTTTTATAACTAGATATTTCATATACAAAAACTTTTTAAAAAAAGTTTTTATATATAAATTATAAGATTTTTATGTGAAAATACGTTTTTTTTTTTGTATAAATATGATTTTATAAAGAAAAAACATATTTGAAACAATTTTTTGAAAAAAGAAGTTATAAAAAAGATTAAAGTTAGGATGAATTCGTAATAAAATTGTAAAATTTGGGCAAAAAAGGTAAATTTTGAACCAAATTTGTAACAAATTTGGAAATTTGAAAATTTGAAAGTTGGATGACCTGTTGACCGGGTCAAAGGGTTAAATTGAATATGATTACCGGTATTTGGGACTTAACTGAATAAAAAAATATATATGGACTAAATCGATTATGAAACCAATATGTAGGGACTTTATTGCAGTTTTCGCTAAAACTATTTACCAAATAAGGTGACTTAGAGGGGTGTTTGGGATAGCTTTTCAGACCAAAAAGTCCTTTTTAAAAAAGAAATTTTTGATTCATATATTTTTCCAAAAGATAGTTTTAAAATGTGTTTGTTTAAACTTTTGAGGGTGGAAAGAGAAAAAAAGGCAAAAGTTGCCACAGATTGGTGACTTTTTAAAAGCCTCATTTTATTTTTTTCAAAAAACTAATTTAAAAGATATTTTCTAATTACCAAATAACTTTTTAAAGTTTTGAGTTTTTGGAAAAGCCAAAAATCTCAAAAGTGGTTTTAAAAGCAAAGCCAAACACCCTCTAGTATTTAGTAAAAAAAAAAAAAAGAAAAAGCGTGCCCTACGCTCATGTTTACTGAACGAACGCACCACCACAACGGGAAGAAATACGAAATCACCCCATCAACTCCATCTCCGGCCACAGTTCGAGCTGGCCACTCCACCTCCAGCGACAACATTAGGCGGCGACTTCTCCTCCGGCCACTCCTCCAGCCGACGATTGCATCTCTGGTTTGATTTTCAACTCAATCTCAGCTTCGATTATAATGCTTCAATCTTCAATTTATGCCTTTTTTTTATGTTTATTAAATACATATTTTTGAAATTTCATCTTCATTCTACTAGATTCTCACTTATTAAGTTACAATTTTGAAGTTTCTTGTCTGCAAGCTACTGTCGAAATTTACATTGATTAGGTTAGATTTCTGAATTATATCATGTGTGGGTTATAACAAGCTGAGGTTAGGCTTCAATGTTGTCTGTTTCCGATTTCTGAGTTGTTTTCTGATTTCTGAGTTTCTACACAATCTGATTTCTGAGTTGTTTTCTGATTATAATTGATGGTTGGTTTCTGTTTTTTAATGTTGTTCTTTTGGTAGATAGATCTTATGATAGATGGAAATGTTTTCTTTCTTATATAAAAAATCATGTAGTCAAAGATTGTGAAGGCATTTCTTTCATAGTTATTGTTTATAACACACCTTATGTTTCTTTTGTTTTTTTGTAAATATGAATTGTTGGTTTGTACCTAAAACATTGTAGTTACAAATTTATTTTATTTAAGATGGTGTTTGTTGGTTTAAAATGTAAATTCAAAAGATTATTTGTTGGTTTTTATAAAAAGCCATTGTTGGTTTAGATTCAAATAAATTAATGGTTATAACACAAATTTATTATGATGGATTTGTACTTGAAGTTTTGTTGTGCCTTTCTTCCTTCATGTAGGTATAACATTTTAGTGTCATCAATTCAATAATGAGAAAACGAACAAAAGTTGCTGAATTTGCACATGGAGATGAAGCATCAAATCCCAAATCTTTTCAAGAAGATAGAAATCAATTTCCATCATCCAAGAAAATCTTTTTAATTTGTTTAATATTCAGAATCACAAATTCTTTATTTGTGCAAACATATTTCAACCCAGATGAACACTGGCAAGCTCTTGAAGTTGCACATAGAATTACATTTGGGTATTATCTATTTCTTTCATTTGACTTTATATATGTTTTTTTTGTATAAAATATAAATATTCAACTTTATTTATTAATTGACAGATATGGACATTTAACATGGGAGTGGACAAAAGGGATACGAAGCTATTTGCATCCAATGATATTTGCAGTTCTATATAAAGTTCTTTCACTTTTACATCTTGATACTCCATTGTTCATGGTAAAATACTTTTCTTTATTGAGTTTCATACATGTTCATCTTATCCAGAAAAGATAAATTTACTTTTCTACCCTTTTTATAGATCAAAGCTCCAAGACTATTTCAATCTTTGTTGTCTGCCTTTGGTGATCTCTACTTGTTCAAACTCTCTCATGTCCTGTATGGTGGCCATGTTGCCAATTGGGCTGTATCCTTTTATTTCACATGCTCTTTATATTTAGGTTAATTTTCAAGCCTTGGTGTCCATTGTCTATGCAAAAGACGAAAATGCCCTTCTCCTTACCATTGAAATTTCTGTATTGTGTCCATGTTGCTCGATGGGCTGTATCCTTTATTGTCACATACTCTTGATATTTAGGTTAAATTTTAAGCCTTGGTGTCCCTATGTCTATTCAAAAGACGAAAATGCCCTTCTCCTTACCATTGAAATTTCTGTATGGTGTCCATGTTGGCCAATGGGCTGTATCCTTTTCTGTCACATGCTCTTGATATTTAGGTTTAATTTTAAGCCTTGGTGTCCATTGTTTATGCAAAAGACGAAAATGCCCTTCTCCTTACCATTGAAATTTCTGTATGGTGTCCATGTTGCCCAATGAGCTGTATCCTTTTCTGTCACATGCTCTTGATATTTAGGTTAAATTTTAAGCCTTGGTGTCCTATGTCTATGCAAAAGACGAAAATGCCCTTCTCCTTACCAATGAAATTTCTGTATCGTGTCCATATTGCCCATTGGGCTGTATCCTTTTGTGTCACATCCTCTTTATATTTAGGTTAATTTTCAAGCCTTGTTCTCTATTGTCTATGCAAAAGACGAAAATGCCCTTCTTGTATGTTTTGCTTAACTTTATTTCAGCTTTTTGCACAGTTAACAAACTGGTTTATGTTTTACTGTATCACACGAACATTATCAAATAGTTTGGAGACAATTCTTACAGTTGTTAGTCTCTACTACTGGCCCAGTTTGAGGACCAATTTGACCAAAATGCCCTCAGGTTCTAGAACCTGGGCTTTGCTTACAGCTGCTTTAGCCTGTGCCATTCGCCCCACAAGTGCTATCATTTGGGTTTATGTTGGAATTACCGAGTTTTTTGGGTCCCACAATAAGCTCAAATTCATTTTTCTTCAAGTTGTGCCAATTGGGTAAGTCTTAAATACAAGAAATAAAAGTTTATTTTCATTCATTTGTTTAATGCTAAATACATTAAATAGCAACTTACTTTCATATATTTGTATATTGTAGTATCCTTCTTTCCATTTTATTATGCATTCACTTAAGCAAATGAGGGAATCTCTTGTAGTAGAAGGGTATTTTGGGCATTTTAGGTATAATTTCTGTCAGCCTGCAAGTAGTAGCAATAATTAGGGATAAGTAAAGTATCTTGCTGTAATGATTGTTGCTATTTCTTGCATTTAGCCATAAGATTAACATGTATAAATTTGCTTACATTATTATGTTTCTGACTTTTTTTTTTTTTTTATTTTTATTTTTTAAATCAGATCTATCGTGCTTGGATTGACATTCATATTGGACAGATTGATGTATGGTTCATGGGTTTTAGTGCCTTTAAACTTTTTAAAGTTTAATTTTCTTTCATCTGGAGGTGACTATTATGGAACTCACCCATGGCACTGGTATTTCACCCAGGGATTTACAGTTATAATATTTACTTTTTTACCCTTTATGGTGGTTGGCATCATTCAGTCTAAAAACTGGAAGCTTTCTGGACTCATTTTGTGGGTTTTAGCTCTTTATAGCATATTAGGGCACAAAGAATTCAGGTATGCATTCTTACAGAGTAAAATCCAAATTTGCTATTTTTTATAAAGTTTAGGGGGTGTTTGGTTTGCTAGATTCCTTAGGAATTGGTTGGAATTGGAATTCAGTTTGAAACTTTGAATCCTCCCTTATTTGTGTAAATGACTAAAATACCCTTTAATGCCTATTATGATTATAGTATGTATTTTTCCCTTCCTGAAAACATTTGTTTCATAATTTTTTTTGTTTGTTGATAAGTTTATGTTTACTGTACAATCTATTCCATAGACTGGAATTCAGTTTGAAATATGCTCCCTTATTTGTTTTAATGACTAAAATACCCTTTTATGCCATACTATTATCATTATAGTATGCATTTTTCCCTTCAAGACAACATTTGTTTTGTAATTTTTTTTTGTTTGTTGATAAATTTATGTTTACTGTATAATCTAGATTCCTTCCACAGACTAGAATTCAGTTTAAAATATGCTCCCTTATTTGTTTAAATGACTAAAATACCCTTTTATCCCCTACGTTTAACATTATAGTATGTATTTTGCCTTTCAAGAAAACATTTGTTTCGTAATTGTTTTTTTGTTTGTTGATAAATTCATTTCATTCCCATTTTAAAAGTTTCCAATTCCAATTCCAATTCCAATTCCTCCCAAGACATTCTGCAAACTAAACACTCAAGAGTTCTTTCATTTTTACAAGAATAAATATTTTGCTTACAATAAAAACAAATTAGAAAAGTTTATTACTATCTTTTTTTTTTTTTTACAATAAAAACTCATCTTCTAAAAGAAAATAAAACCAACAGGTTTGTCCTACCTGTGCTTCCACTAGCTTTATTATTCTCTGGTTATTCATTAGCCAAATTAAGCCAACAACAACATTCATCCAGCAACAAAAATAAAAGCTTCTGGAAGATAAAAGCAGCAGTTTTTTTCTTACTTGTAACAAATATTCCCATGGCTCTTTACATGACTATGGTTCATCAGGTACATCTCCTTCTTTAAAATCCCCAAATTGCCCTTCCACCAATGTGTAAAAACTTATGCTAAAAATTAATATCCAGAGAGGAACTGAGGATGTGATGAATTATTTAGCTAAAGAAGCTAATCAAAGGAACGTGAAAAGCATTTTGTTCTTAATGCCATGTCATTCTACTCCCTTCTATTCAACTTTACATCAAAATCTTCCTATGCATTTCTTGGATTGTTCACCAAGGTATTATACATAATTTACATACACATTGACACTATTTTTTTTTTTTTTTATAAAACTCAACTTGCACAAAATAGCAATGTAACTAATTACCAGGGTATTTTGGTAATTTGTTATCAGCGAAATTAAGGGAATCCAAGATGAGTCGGATCGCTTCATAATGGATCCAATTGGTTTCGTATCGGAATATGTAAAAAACTGGGCCCCACCAAGTCATATTGTACTATTTGATACAGAAGAGAAATATATTAAAGACTTCCTTTTCTCACATTCTTTCAAAGAGGTACACTTGTTATATTAATTAAATTACTTATAAGTTATAACACATCCTTTTTTTATTATTTAATTATTTAAACCAAATTTGTGTTGTGATTTTTAGATAAAAAGATTCTTTCATGCTCATTTTAAGGTGGATCGAGATCTTCAAGCATCAGTTGTTGTGTATGCTCTTTTAGACCAATGACATTTTATATTTATTTTGACCTAATTACAAGAAGCCTAATTTGTCAAGTATTCTTAATTAGCCTTCATGTTTTGTTAATATATTGTTATGTATTCTTGATCTCATGTATAAAAGACGCGAATGAGCTTTTTAATTATTGATAATAATCTTAGAATACTTGTTCATTTAGTTAAAACAAAATGATAAATGGAAGCCATATGATATCATCTATGTTAATAATTTTTATTGGATGTAACTCGATATTTTCTCCACGTAAGTATAGAACTACTTTTCGTAACTTCTAGAATTCTTCTCATGTTTTTTTGATAGGATTCTAGAAATCAAATTGACATCGTGTTTTTGAAGGATTGCTATTGGTAGAGTTGATAAATGAGTCTGATATCACCTCTTTTGTCTTTTTTTATTCTCTAAGTATTAGTTTTCTAAACGATAAGAAATTCATTATTTCTACTAAAATAATCCTATGCATAGCCTAAATGATTGTCGATGTTTGTTGAAATAGAGCCTAAAAAATTTGACTATTCAACTAAAAATCAAGCAATGCAGATCACAAAAAGCCTAATAAAGCATTGAAACCTCTTCAATTTATCTCGAATTATGTATAACATCGTGACATTTATGTTTGTCCCATTGTGATCTTTTACATCAATGGCAAGTCGAATGACGAGTAGCATGCATATAGCATGGTGATTATTAGTTTTCTAAACCATAAGAAATTCATTACATGCCTTGCTACATGCATGACAAGAGTCCAAGATGATAACAATCAAATAAGAAGATGTTTACGATTATTTTGTGCTTTTCTTCTTTTTTGTGTTTGTAATTGTTATTGACACCAATCACTAACAATTTCATTCAACAAAGTGTCAAGGGTAGGTAAAACAAGTCTTGAATGTGATACATTTAGATTGCAAGTATGACTGGTACAAACATATTTTCAGCCTGTGGCGAGAGGTAATAAAAAGACCCTTCAAAGACATAATTATAACCAAAAAAATTACAAAAATTTATCAACTTAAAGGAAGATGGTTTTTCTAGTTTTTTTAGATGCAAAATCATTAATAATATTATCAAATACACAAATATAGACAAACAATTTATAAAAATCCATTAATTTAAAGAAAAATACTTTTTGTATATTTTTTAGGGAAATCATTCAACATTTTCTTATGACATTGCTAAGGTTATCTAAAATTTTAACAACTTCAACTTTGAATTTCTTTTGTTTACCGAAGATACAATGGAAAAAATAGTTAATAAGATTCTATATGCAATAAGATTCTAACAATTAAGACTTAGGAGTTGATATGATCTAATCAACTAATGCATTCTATAATTGCTTGATTTCTTCATACTTCGTTGGTTTATAATTTGTCGATTTGATATCCACCATTTTTTGATGCACCTACCCATCTAATTCTTTTTGATGTATGATGTTGTTTATTCTTGATTCTAGTGATATATGAAATTTGGCCTTTGAATTTGGTTATATCGCGTTTCCTATAATTTATCTTATTTTTACTTAAAAATAGACATTATATATCAATATTATATAGCCTATGAATTTTTTGGGCCACTTGAAAAGATGGGCCGTCCGACCTAATTACAAGTAATCTTGGAATGGATAGTGTTTAGGAGTTATTTTACCCTCCCTTTTAACATTTTCGGTGACAACATTGTTCAAGATTTCTTTATATCTATTAGGTAGGGGTGGTTCTTAGTTGGCCCCTGGAGACACCGGCAACATCTGTTTTTTCTGTACGTAGTAAAAAAAATTTAAAGTTTTTTTAATCTATTGTGCAACTACCTAAAAAAAAATTGTGCAACTAGGTCCTTCCCTTTCCAGAAAAAAAAATTTATGCCACAGCTAATATCAATTCCCATGTTCGCTCCTGCTATTAGGACACCAATGGCTTTCCAAATTCGTTCAACAAAGTCCACAATTGAAATGTCAAATGGTAAGTAAATGTACTCTTAAACATGATGCATTTATATTGCAACTAATTTTCAAATTCATGACGTTTAAGAGTCAATTTGTTTTTTTTAGAAAACCTCCTCAAACAATTATTGCTCCGCAGCACAGCGCACACACAACACTTGCCCTATTTCAACAGTTTGTTTTTTGGAAGACTTCATACAACAAAACATCTGCGCGACGCAACATTTGACTTGCATCTTCAAACTTCTCCGACTTTCATTTTTTTCAAGTAATTTTTTTAGAAATTTAGTATAACTTCATTTTTTTTAAACTTTAATTTACGGATTTGATACAATTTTTTTTTTATATTTTCATAATTTTTTCTAACTTGATTTTTTTTTATTATCTGTTTTTTAATAATATTTTCAGTTTCTGTTTTATCTTTTTTAACACGTGTGATTCTTTTACGGATTTTCTAGGCATTGTTTGTAATATTTTCTTAATTTTTTCATAACTTCTTAATTTTTTTTATGTTCTTTAAATTTAGTTTTTTTTAGAAAAAAAACTGATAACTTCTTTTATATTTTTTTAGAAATTTTATATTTTTGTTTTTTACATGTTATTTTAGTATTCTTTCAATGTATTAAAACTAGAATTATAAAAATTTCAGTGTTGAGAACTATTTGCAATTTATAAAATCAATTTATTTAAATTTCAGCTTATTGCAGCAGTGTGTAGATTTAAAAAAATAAACAGACTTTTTATTACAGGCTGCAACCGTTTTATCCACTCTTCTGCTGCAGAGGGTTACAGAGATGATCCGCAGACTTCATCCGATTCGAAAAAACAAAAAACAAACTTACTCATAGTTTGACATTTCGGTTGGTTGCTGACACTGTTTGAATGATTTTTTAAAACAATCTGACTATGTCAGAATAGTTAGTTTAAAGAATTTTCTTTCCTTTTTTTATTTGTAAACGTAATAAAAATATATTTAGTTGGAGTACTTATTTAGACAACTTCATAAAAAATAATTTTGTTTAACAACAGTTAATTTTTGTTATAACTAAAAATCCATTGGTAATCCGTCATTATGTTCGGTTAGTAATCCGTTACTTTTTGATTGTTTAACATTTGGTTTTAAAGATGGTTCAGATTAGAGAAGGAAATTAGCCACCATTATATTAGCCAACAAATAATTTTCGTTGCTAATATGACGCTAACAGTTTCACTGGTAGATCTGTGTCAAACTGTCAATATTAAAGATCTACGCATCACACGTATAAAGGGGGGGGGGGGGGGGGGGGGGGGGGGGGGGGGGGGGTATTAATTAGTGGCCATTCATGGCTCACGAGAATTACCTTATGAATATTAAATCAACCATTACTCCTCTTGACATTATTCAAGACACTTGCATCATGTAAAAAGCCAACACCTGTCTCAATTTTGTGCTTCACATTCAATATATTTACAAACAACTCAAGGACAAACAACCTGAGAATAGAATGAAATCAACTTACAAAAGTCCTTAGCTAAATCAAGAAAATGTATACTTATTCTTGATGCTAGCAAGAAAAACACGCTGCCAAGCCTTTAGAACTAACATGTAACTTTTTTAACTTTAACCGGAGATGATAAATTAAAGTAAAGAACTACATTTTCTCAAAAATCATCAACCAAAGTCGCAGTTTTTGATCCTGTACATGATTTTGGTTCGAGAAATCGAGCCTTAATTAGTTAAGTTTCTCGATCCCGTTGTTTTTGAGATACACAAGAAGAATAAAGCTATGTATTAATCGACTATGGGTGAATTACTTTTTCATTCAAAACCTCGGTTGCATTCACGAGATTTCTCATGACATCAACTTGTACCCTAAGGGAAAGGATGTAGTCTAATGCTTCTTTGATGAGGGAGAATTCATCCATGGCTTGTCCACCAGGTACAAGACTTTTAAGAACTTGGGTTCTCTTTTTTACCAATCTTTTTGCAATATAAGTAGCTAAATTGGATGTAGGAGGAAACGTCTTTTTTGCTCTTTGGGCAACACTACAACACTTTTTCAAGATCTTCTTGCTTCGAAACCTCTTATGGAGAGCGATCATTTTGCAAACTGCAGTCTTTTGTGGCATGAACCTTGACTTGTGGCTTAATAAATTATCCACGAGAATAGAGTTTTCTTCGTATTTCATAGCATCAGAAATTACTGCATTGCTCCAATAAGTTGTGGCATTTTTGGCAGAAGCCATAGCAATATCTGCACAAAACTTTATCTTCTTCTTTCTCTCCAAAACATCCATTTTCTTTGAAGAACAACATATCTGAAGACCCTTAAACCATTTCTTGATGAATTCCCTCTTAAGCTTGCTAGAAGTATGCATTACTATAATTCCCTACAACAATCAACAGTTAAAAGTTAATTAAATTAAATGATCAAAATGCGTTCTTGATGAAAAATATTGGAATCGAATTATAATTTCATTATAGTCATGCAGAAACAATTATCTTTGGAAATTCTTTCCTCACATGCAACAAAAAACTCAGGAAATAAATTAAACAAAACAACTAAACACCTTCAACAATACAAATTAAAACAGCAAAAACAATGACGGATTCAACATTTTCGAAAGTCTTGCAGATTCAATTCAACTGTGTATCATAAGAAAACTTTCGAGTTTTAATATATATTCGTCGAGTATATATGCTAAAATCCTGAAATGAAAACATGCATTCAAGGATGAACTTCAAGATCTTGACCTATAGAGCTCCATAGAGAATGTGGATGAACATGTTCATGCAAAACATCATACAAGACCACATGAAAAGAGTCATAAACTTTGCAATGTATGTGTACCTTCCTAAGGTTGAATGAATAAAGTGATACTGATATCTTTTATTGTTGAACATCCATTGGAGGTGTATAGGAGAAAAAAGCGGTTGTTGCAGAGACAATATGTAGGAGAGAGAGAGAGAGAGAGAGAGAGAGAGAGAGAGAGAGAGAGAGAGAGAGAGAGAGAGAGAGAGAGAGAGAGAGAGAGAGAGAGAGAGAGAGAGAGAGAGAGAGGCTTTATTTATTTGTTTTTTCTCGAAAGAGAAAAAGAGAGGGAAGGTGGTGGGGTTAAGAGGGAAAGACACAGCACATGCAACCACATGGGTGTATAGGCCTACAATCCCCATAAAACCCTAAATCTTCTATTTCACAATTTTTTATAGAAACTAAATACAGTATTTTTAATATTTAATTAAACAATTCAAGTTTTTACTTTTATGTCGGAGATTCAATAATTAATATATTGTTTAATAGAAAATTTGAATGAAACAGGATGTCCAGTTAACATTTAATAAATAAATTAAACTCTAAGATGTTATGTCGTTCAGAAAACCGAATGAAAGTTTAAAAAAAAGTTTTTTAAGTTTAAAATAAGGTGTTGTTTGTTTTTTTGTCTGCAGATTTTATTGTTCTCTTCTTTGTGCGCCGTGTAGACCACGCATAAATATTAGGTTTTATAGATTGTTTGTTTTTTTCGAAAACCGCAGACTTAAAATGGTCTGCATGTCCTCTTTTTGGTTCGGATGTGAAGACTCTTCAAACATTTTCAGACATCTCCTAACTTAAAAAAACACAAATATTCCAACTTTGTCTATGATAAATACTTTGGAAAAAAAGTTACAATACTTAAATAAAAAAGGTTTGGTGACACAATGTTTAGGTATAATTTTACGACCAAAGTTTGTTGGTTTTTATTAACTATATACGTTAATTAATTCGTACAATTTTGTTTTTGCTTTTTATAAAATAATATATAAAAGTTGATTTATATTTGTTAATATCTATAATAAGTCATAAAATTATTGAAAAGCTATTTTAAGTTTATTAAAAAAATGAGTTTAATTAGATTTTAATTTATTCTAACAGTAGATGTTAAAAAACAAACAGTTTTTTCTTTCAGACTGCAACCGTTTGGTCTACCTCTTCTACTGTAGAGGTATGCAAATGTGGTCTATAGACCGCATACATTTTGTTTTAGAAAAAACAAACATCACCTAAATGTCTTATTGAATTTTTATAAAGTTAAATATATTATATCTTAAATTCATATAAAAGATAAAATAACGATGGGATAGTCGCAGTCCATTAAACTCAACGCAATACTTATATATTGTGGATACATGACCCTTAGTAATATTCAAATATACTGATTCTTAGTAAGATTCAAATATATTTCTTTGTAATAAATATATAACATGTGATGATTTTGATGCATTTATTTATGAATAGATGAATATGGTGTTCAATATAGCATTGGGGTCATTGTGACTCTTGAATGTGAAACTCCTTATCATCTACAATGTTGTCATTGGGAAACGAGAGGGCTGGAGACGTGTATGCTTTGACTCAAATGTCTTCGTTCTTTTTATGGTTATATGTAATCACCCATGAAAGAGACGAGATCTATTTTGGTGAATCTTTTACAACTTCCTATTCGGAAAAGCGAGGGAAGTCTCTCATATAAAGGTTTCTATATTCAATGTTCGTCGACTACAATATATTTGTTTCTGATTGGCCGTTTTATTGGCCACCTACTTGTTGTCAATGACATTGAACATGTTGATCTTCATATGCATTTTCACACACTTTTAGTTTGATCGATGAGAATTATGATAGGTACCCCTAGTTGTTGTGAAAAGCTCTCAAGAATCTGATTCCAAAAGGGTCATAATGTTGATCATTCCTGATGTCACCGTCTTCTGAAATGTCGATCCATGACTCTACTAACACGATTTCTACTTTAAGGGTCTATATTTTTGGGTTCTCGCAATCAGTCAAACTATGTGCGCCCCTAGCCGTATTCTTTTGGAGACTCGTAGAATTATTTTTAGTGTGTATGGATATGGTAATGGTGGAGGGGGGCTTCTTCTAGGGACTCGTCAGATTGTTATTGGGGTTGTGTGTTGGGTTAGATTTCGTCGTTTGTTTTCTTTGTGGGTTATTCTTTGGGTCATATGCTAAGAAAAGACCACATTATAATACCTAATTCAGATACAGTTGAAATGAAACGTTCCAAAAATTCAACCAAAAATTTACATTTTTTAAAAGAATACAATAACATCAATTCCATTAAATTCCAAATTATAAAACAAAAGTTTGAGAGCCACATCTTGATGTAACTAAAAATCAAAGTTTTAAACATGTTTATGTGAAAATGTCAAAACAGCCAATGATGATGCAAGTGTGATGTGGTCAAGTTGGAGCCTTTCCCTGATCATAGAAAGTACTTGGAAACATTAATCCATAATTGTAAGCATAAAATTTGATGAGTTTTCCAAAATACTACACACATCATAATAATAAATATACATGTAAATATTAGGCCTCTATAGCTCACAACCCATTTCGATCTTGCTATCATCCCAAAATGGTACTCTTTGACTCACGACTCATCCCGATCATGTCATCAACCCACCAAGCACTATTTGACTCATGACCTATCCTGATCTTGTTATCAGTCCACCCGTAACATCCAATTTCTCGATCCCCAGTATGTAATTCTTATAATAATAATAATAATAATAATAATAATAATAATAATAATAATTGTAATAATAATAAGGAATAATTAGTTCAGAGGCTAAATTGTAATTTTTAGAAATCGATTTTGTAAGACAGTTAGGTTGTGGGGTAGATTCTGCCAGCATGGGTTACTTGTTGGGTTTTTATTTAAAATCGTTTTCCTAAAAACGTTAAAAACGTCAACGGAAACTTTAAAAACCGAATAGACTTAAAACTCTTTTTAGCTCACCAATGATCATTTTGAAAAGCATGGAACATTAATACAACCATAAACCTAAAATGTAACAATTGGTAATAATAGGTCAAAGTTCGTCGGTCAAACCACCACGAACGTAACTGTTAAAGGTCCTATTGTGTAGTATTTCTTGTTCTTGAGTGCAATTGAAGTCTTATACTTGAAATTTCATAAGGAATACCTTGAAATTTCTCAAAATTGACAGCCGTTAACAATTGGAAAACAATTCACATAATAAGTATCGACTAATGCTCTAAAAATAATTTTTTTGCATTAATTATACTTGAGAGATACAAATAAATAATTTGAATATATTATGTTCTCCTAATTCCGTGGATATAAAGAACGTCCAAAATGGAGATCATATGACGAAGTTACGCCTCTTTCAAGTTATAAGATCAATATATATCCGATTTTCCTGAAACGAAGTTTACACTAATTCATTTGGAATAGCTACGAATCTCGTAAATTATTTTTGAGCACATTTTTAAACTCAGACTGTGGTCTATTATTTGATTTCATTTTATGACATTTTAAATCTCGAGAACAATCGAATTCATAAAATCTGTCGAATCTGAAACAATTAATCACTAAACTTTAAATGTCATTTCCCGAAGTTTCGTATATCAGAATTGAATTCCGTACGCATTTTTGGAATAACCGCGACCGAGACAGTTTGCAGGCACTTTTAGAAATAGAATTACATGTCGGAATCGGTGGTAAGCGAACCGAGGCTTAAAAGGGTGAGAAACTATGCATGCCATCATGCATGGTACAAGATAGTACCATGCACATGTTTGTTACCAAAAATATCTTTATAAAAGTCAAATAAGGACTTCCATAATGCAGCCATAACTCAATGGGAAGGAACCCACTTTTTTTTTCTCTCTCTCTCTAACATCTCTCTCCATCTCTAACTCTAACTCTATCTCTTGCTCTCTAGTGAAACACACCCCCGTAGAAGGTGTCTCCAGCCACCTATAAGGAAACAACCTCCTATTCTCATCCTTCCCTCTCATTGATCACAAGAAGCCCCTAAATACCCCCTATCCCTTCGAGTTTACTATTGGTGACATGACAAAAATAACCAAGGAAAGTCGCTGAAGTAGCCTCCCTCACCACCACAAACGATAGTGACAGCCTTTTTCCGCCTCTGTCTTCCTTTATTTGCGATATAAAACCACCAAAACCTCCCTTGCCCAGCTGCTAGCTCTAGTCGACGCTAGCAACCTCTGTCTAGGCTTAACAGCCAAAGGGCGAGTCACCAAAAAAACGAGTTCCTCAATTTTCTTGACTATTTTGGCACTAAACAGCCACCTTCGCCACCCCTGGTTCCATACCTGCCTTCCCAATGCCCGATCCTTGAAAATGAAGGTTGCAACACGAAGAAAACCGTTGGATTGAGTTCTTCGGCGAGGAACTCTGACGACACTTCATGTCTCCGGCGAACACTATTCCGACGAACTTAAGATGGTGAAAATCAAAATTTTCAAACTCCTATAGTTTAAATCTACGACCATGTGTACTCGGAATGTTCAAATGGTCCCCCATTTGATAAACGAGAAAACACGAATCTATCTGTTTCTGATTTCCCGAACAAATCGGACTCACACTTCAAGGATGAGTCTCTATGGCCCAACTTTTATGGTTTTTGTGTTTGAGGGAGAATACATGTGTGATTATTTAAGTATTGATGTTTTACAAGTTTTTTATACATAAAAAGGCATTATACTTTGTTATTGGTTAAAGATTTATGAAATAACAACCTAAAATGTTAATAATCACCAATATATCTTATATGTTTAAAGTAGGATGTTATAAATAATATGTTATACCTTGTTGAGAAATATGAGTATAAATGTTAAAAAAAATCACAAGATTATAAATAGATTGCTATAAGAATACAAAATATTTTGTGATTTATAAATCTATGATCTTTATTAGAATGTAAGTGTGAACATGTCAAGAATGTATAAAAAGACATTATACACGTAACCAAAAATATTATGCAGCATAATGATATACAAAAAAAAAGTACATTTCCTAAATTGATTGAAAAACGAAGTTTGAACAATTACATGATAATTAGTTGAAAATTGCTAAAAATCAACTATTATTTATAAAGTTATGTAAAAATGAACTTAAAAATGACTTTTATGTATTTTTATATTTATTATTAAAATATAAATCATTTTCGCTAAATTGTGAATTTCGTCACAAGGATAGCGTAATTGATTTTCCGATTATAAGAATCATGATCTAAGAAATTATGTATCATATCAATTATGTAACTTATCGATTATTGTGGAAATTGTTGGTCTCACGTTGGTTGAAACCTGTAAATGTTATAAAAGCAGCCGTTATGCTGCCCAAATTTTGTCATGATAGACAATAAAATTTGGAAATATGTTAAGTCTTATGAATCTCAAATACTAAAAGACTTAAATCAATGATTATTCATAAATATCAAAGAATTATATATGTTACATGAACTTGTAACAGAAGGTTTAGGATCAGGATGCCAAGACACACTGTTAGGATCAAATACTCATGAGACTTTCTATATGAGGTATGTTCGTTTCTAAAAGCCATAGGAGCTAGCATCATTTCCTAATCTATATGGGTTGTGTTGTTGTCTACACTAAGACCTTATGTCTTAGTAAAAGTCCTCTGTGTTATAACCATTAATCCGTATGGAATGTGGAACGTTATGTATAGATCAACGATATTGATTTATATAGGTAGACATCCTGTCGAGGGTTGCTAGCTACAACCATCGTCTGACAAGTTGAAAATAAGTGTTGACGTTTCTACACTACTTACTCCATGAAATTGATAAAGCATTGATGTGGAACTTTCAGCACCCCCCTTTTAGTGCTGGTGTAGAGGATGCGATTCACAATTCGGTTATGAGCTAATTATAGATCCCTAATTTGGATTGTTACCATATAGAATTGAAATATGATTTATATGGGGGGGTTTTTGTTCACTTGTACTAGTTGAAAGAGAGTGTATGTAGTAGGATAGTTTGTGACTCAAAACGATAAGTGTCAATAAAAAAAAATTAAGTCATATAACACTTACTTATTAACATGACACGACTGGACAAGGTTTATTAACTTACATATAATAAGTTATTTATATAAAACCTTTGTTTTTTGTATAAAAACACTATGTTTATATGGGAGGAGCTTACCCACTGATTTATATCGTTTTTCCAAATTAAGTAAAGTGATACTTAATAATTAATGTAACACGAAAATACAACGTTTATGTAGGAGGAGTTTGCCCCACTGATTAAGTGTCGGTTCCCGAACTAAGTAAGATAATGCTTAATAAACACTACGACTCGACCATACAAAGTTTATAAACTCAAAAGATTATGAGTTATACATATAAACTAAGAAATCGCTCGTATGGAATTTCAAGAGTGAAACTGGATATTTTATTTTATCACAAAGTGTAACAGGACTTTATTTTATATAACTTGGTATTCAAAATCCTTATTTAAAAATGAATTTTTGGTCATGGGAACGTTAAAATTTGATAAAAGTATAACTTACTTATATTTATCAAATTTTGTACTTTTGGGAATTGAACAAACAACGTTTGTATACAAGTCCAAAAACATTTTTATAACTCATCTATTTTTATACTTTTGACAGAAAAGTATGGATTTATAAAACCATGACAACCAAATGAATTTTATAAAACACTTTTGGTTATAAAAGTATTTGGTGTCAAAACCTATAAAACCCACCAACAATCTTTTGTTGATATATCTTAATGCATGTATTCTCAATTTTATTAATAGGTCGTAAGAGTTTGCAGAAAAGTCTCTCCGTTATTTTATTATACCTTTGTAAACACCGAGTGGTTAGCAGCGTGTCGTGATTAAGCAATAGCCACTGTCAATGTAAATTCTATTTTGTTAATAATAGAAGATTTTATTTTGTATTGTTTAATGTACGTTCAATAACTGTGATCACTGATTTATGTCCCGCACCTCGACGTTTCCGCTGACGGCTAGGGGGGGTGACAGAAAAAACTACCGCCTTTGAAGAATTTTGATTCTTATCGAGAGGTTAGAAGTTGATGAAGATGGAAAAAACATTAAAAGAGAGCTTCTCTAGAAGTGTCCACTAAGCACGAATAAACCACTTCAAGATGTTAGTATTCACTTATATTAATTTGTTCTTAAGCCATTAGGACTTATACAAAATAAGCCTTGAGGAGAAGCACCTCATGAACCTTCAAATCAAGTACCAAATTTCAAGAAAGAAGAGAGGGAGAGAGAGCTCCAATTCTCGGAAATTGAAGTCAACATAAGGAGGAGAATCCACCAAAATAACAACCTTTTCTTACTAGTAATGCCCTCCTTCTGATACATACTAATGTGTACAAAGTCAAACCTAATATTAATAGAAAGTATGGAACCCTTCATGAAATGTAAGAGATGTAAGAAACAACCCCATACTCTCTCATGAATGTTATGACTTATGGCCAAGAAGTCGAGGGTTGGAGTGTGTTTCACATAATCTCATAACTAGCTACTTAGAATGTAACTAAATGATTACTCAAAGTGCCCAAAAATTAAAAAAAATTATTCATATTCACACCTTATGGATATAACTAGTTTTTTTTTATCTTTTATTATTATTTCCTAGAAACAATAATTCACAATATGTTGGTAAAAATATTATTTTCATAAAATAATGTTTTTCTAATTAAATACAACTGTTGATTATATTTATTAATAATCAAATTACTTTGTTAGGGTTTGAAATATATATATGATGTGTCTGAGTTGTAATGAGAAAGGTTTTATAATTGTATATCGTTAATATTCAATGTTTAGTTCCGAAAGTCTATGTAGTTTTGAAGTTTATGCACCTCGATTTCGCGGTGAATATGCTTAATTGTCTTACATGTTGTCACTTCTTAGGTTTCATGTTTTTCTTGGTTGTTTCTCTAACCGACTCCCTGAGTGTCCAACTATATAAAGGGATGTAAGTTAGATAGGAAGAATACCTTTTTCAGAAGTTCTTACGATCAATATTGTAACGAACTTGTATCCTCTAATTGAAAACCAAATCTTATTTACTCTTGTGTGTTGAATCCTTACTTCGTTTTAAACATGATTTCTATCTTTTAGAATCTATTTGATCCTACATATTCTAATAAATAATCAATAAGTAGTAATTTGCTATAAGGTGTGATCCTATACGATCATATTTATTTGTCAAATATAATTCTATACTAACTCTTGGGCATAAAGATCTTTCATTACTTCGGGGACCAAAGTTTATTTTTTGAAAACAACATTGTCTCCTTCTTCTCCAAATAACAAACAACAACGCAGGAGCAGAGCATGTCTTTTTATTTTTTCCTGTTTTGGAGTCTAAAAATTTGATACTTTCAAAATCTTTTTGATCAATTCCCTAATAACTCGGCTCGTTGACCATTAAAATCCATTTCTAATCTCCTTTTCAGCCCCGATCGAAAAATATTGTGAGAGAAAGTATGGTTGCCGGATTAGGGTATGGAGAGGAATATGCGAATGTTGAGCTCACTTTAGACCACCTCCAAGTTAGGTAAGACCTCCATTCAATCCCTAACATGTTTTCCTACACTTTCCCTCCATTGTGGAGGCCGAGACTACCTCCGACGACCCTCTAACTGCCGGAAAAACAAGTTTAGCGGGATTTTATATTATAAAAATGTTCTGTCAAGTTTAGCAAGTTCTAGCCATGGGTAAGGTCATTCTTAGGTCCCTTGAACACATAGGAACAAGATCGTTGTTATGAAAAAGAAAGAATAAGCATCTCGTAATGCTCTCAAAGTTACATTTTTTCTTGTTTATCAGTTTTTTAACATATTGAATGAGTCCCACGATATTTTGAGCTCTTGCATCTTTTCCAGATCTCGTTCTAGGTTGCTAGGACTAGTAGTTGGCTTCCTTAACTTAGTTAGTCTTATGTCGGTTCCTAGAACCAAGAAAACAACACCTTTATATGTAATTTTGTCCCGAAAACCCGAAAACCGAAGAGCTTCATTTCGTGTATGCGTTGTCCTTTGAAATCAAAATTCTATTCACCTTTTTCTGTTATATATGCCATATAAGAGAAGGTGTATGTATATACAATGATAATACAAGAAGGTTCTAAAGTAAAGTGTAGATAAATTACACTCTGCGTATTATATAGGCATGATCTAAGTAGAGTTCTGGTATGGGATGTAGGCATTCATAGAGGGAGTTCATCTTATCCACTTCAGTGGTTTTGTGGTGTTTTCTATTTCAGGTGAGTTTTCTCACTATACTATTTACTGAAGTATGTGTTCTAGTATGCTAGGATGGGATTAGATTGTGGTAGGTTGTTAGGCATGTAAACTTGTAGATTATTATCTGTGATGCTGAGATGCTGTTTATCTATTTT